AAAAAAAAAAAAAAAAAAAAAAGTTACGATACGAAGCGCACTTAACAATGACTGTACGTGACCTGAAATACGCGTTTTTGTACACTCGAGGTGCCCTAAAGAAAGCAGCAGACCTCGTGACACACACAAACACACACACAAGCGCAGACACAAACACACACAGAAACACACACACGAAAAGAACAGCTTTTGGGGGGCAACAGGTGGGCTGTGCCACAACGGCCTGCTCCTCCGTCTTTTTATTTCAACCCCTATTTTTCTTATGTGGGCTGCCTCGCGTGCGTGCGCATGTGATGAGCTGCAAGTATGGTCTGCTTCATCTGGTTTTGAACCCAAGTCTGTATTTCCACAGTTAATGGGTGCATGCATTGACATGGGCCCGCTTGTTTGGTTTCTTGCTTTATGATACAGGCTGCATTTATCCCGAGCCTTGACAACGATTTGGACACCAGCTATTTTCAGTTACGGCACACTTGGAACAGTGTGAATGCGACCCGATTCTCAGAATGTGACTACGATGAAAACTGCAGTGTGGACAGCAGCACGAGCCGCAGCAGCAGCGACATCAGCATCCATGAATTTGAGGGGGTGGGTCTTCAGTGTACAAGGGTGGTTCTCTTTTTTTTTTTTTTTTTTTTTTTTTTATTTGCACCATTTCACGATTTATGCGTGTCATCCTTGTGCAGCGGCCATGCTAATTGATCTTCTCTGTATCGTTCCATTTTTAACGGACACTCTAGACCGGGTTCTTTACCAAAAAAAAAAACGTTTTCAGGTCTATTTCTATTGTGTTAATAACACAGTGCCTTTGAAGAGAAGCAGCATGTCTCGGATGTTCCGTTTCCCATCAGGTGGGGGTCAGCCCTATAATGTGGACAACACAGTGGCTCTGAAGAGGCACGTCTCTTGGACGATGTGTTGCTCCTTAGGTGCGGTGGATGCAGCGGTATAAATTGCATGCTGCTTCATGTGGGGATGCCATCACAATGAGTTGTTGGACACAGTTTGTTTTGTCAGTGTGCTAACGTGTGAATGATGGGTTGGGCTGTCGAAATGTTTACGTCTTGTTTGCAGCGGGACAAGTGCAGCGACCTTGCGGAGCACAATCCTACACCGTCTGTGAGCACCTTCAACAATTTCTCATTCAGGGTAATAAGTCCTACTGCCATGCCCCTGTCTGCTGCCGACCGTCTTCACCCGAGCGTTCTATTCGGGTGAAGACGGTACTTGTCCACAGCTGAGAAGATAAATGGCCGGACTCTGCCGGGTTATAATGCTTGATCCTCGATTGCACCACCGTCTTCACCAGTATTGAATGCCCGATCATTGTAGCCCTATTTATTTGGCGCATCTTTTTTTCTTTTTTTTATAAATAATCTGTTTTCTTTTCATATTGGGGACAGCTGTATTTAGTTACCCCCTATTTTCTTCTCTCAATGTCTTACCTAAGTTACCTTCCATACCTACTTTTTGCCTACCTGCTCATCTCAGTGTGCGACCTGTCTACCCAAGGCAACACAGCACCTCAACCCGAGACCACCAGGCACCAGACACCCCAAGAGCACAGATAGCAGGCCAAGAGACTATGGACTAGGGAAAATAGCCAACAACCTACTCTATGCCTAATAATTGGAGACGAGAACCGCTTTTGTTTTTAAATACCTCACCTAAGCGAAGCTATCCTACGGTTATGGGTCTATGTCTACCACCCTCTGCTCAGTGCGGGGACTCCGCGAGCCGTTCGCAGGCTGCTAACGCCTGGCGTAGGCCGGAACAACGTTCCCTAACCAGCAAGGAGGCCCAAAGCCGACAATCGCCGCTGGTGAAAGCCAGAAGTATATCTCCAGGAGGCCGTGGGAATCGAAAGGACGACATCGCAACTTTCTGTCTATAGATATAGTGTGATTCCGGGTTGAATACGCTACCTTCTTAACCCGGAAAAAACGTACGTACGTTATATTCGAATTACCTCTGGAAATCAGGTTTTCAGAAATCGCTTGTTTTTACCTGAATACAACGTACGTTCAAATATAACGTACGTACGTTGTATTCGAATACAACGTGCGTATGTTGTATTCAAATTTTTGGAACTTTGATTTTTCAAAAATAATATTAAAAAATCGAAATCATCGGCGTATCTTACTAGGATAACTCGGCCTTCGGCCACCTGTTGCTGAGCCCACTCATTCAAAGCATTCTCCATTCCGTGCAAAGCAATGTTGGCCAGTAAAGGCGATATGACTTGAGGCTCGCCAGAGTTATATATAGTTATAGGCGGCCGAAGGTCGAAACCAGTCATAATGTCTGCTTTCAACCAGGCCTTAATCTGATTCCTCATCACAGGATATGCGTCTAGCTTTTCCAAGAGGCACGAAGTGTTGATTCGATCAAAGCAACTCTTTTGTTTGTCTAAATAAGTATACGTTTTTTTTTGCTACTTTTTGAACAGGCAGATTACCAACAAAATATGATAGATTTTCAAAAGACTATCAAAAAAATACAACAATAGAAAGGTCTCTAGTAGCTGAGTGGTTAGAGCAAATGGCTGTTAAGTGCGCCGATTTTGACTTCTTTGTGGAGGATGTAGTTTGAACTACGGTTGTGCTATAGGGCTATTTTCTGTCTATAGACATACAGTTATACGGACCGGGCGTTCTATTAAACCACCCCTACCCCCGCCGGACTAAAATCGATTCTCCTGGCCTTAAGGGGGGTCAAGAATTCTAAGGGGGGGCAGCGACCGGCAGGCGCAAGCGGGTGCGGTCCAAGAATTTTCAAGCGTGAACTTCGGCGATTTTTCACGCTCAGAAAAATTAACAAACAAATCTGAAAAATTGAGAGGTCGGGATCTTTCTAGGACAAATATTTTTAAAAAATGAAAACGAAAATATTTAGACCGTGAAGTAAATGCCGTGCCGTTTCATCTCGTTTTCCATTTTTGCTACTCTACCACGTATGGGCCAACGGGAAAAGTAACCCAACTTTTGCAGTTTTTTTGCGCTCAGAAGGATGACTCGACAACTCTGAAAATCCGAGGGTCCATAGATTTTGGCACGATCTTCATAGGAAAGAACATTAAAAAAAAAAAAAAAACATTTAAAACAATCATTTTAGCCGCGAAATAAATCACGGGTTCGATTCGACGCATTTTCCAAATTTGCCACGCCGCCAGTTTCCCCCCACTGTGCTACCGGTAGCCCTCATGGACCTGTGCTACCGGTAGCCCTCATGGACCTGTGCTACCGCTCCCCCCTAATTTATGACCGCGGGGGTAGCGGTGGGGTTTAAGCTGAAGATGGTCCGCATGGGCTTTTGACACTTCTTGCACTTCTCGACTTTTGTGCATTGAATTTGCATTAGGCCATTATATACTCACACCAGGCACACAAAAAATTGCAGAATTGCAAAGTTGACGGTCAGATGGACTCTAATGAATGGACTCTTATCTTGCCGTCGCTCGTTTTGCGATTCAATGACTTGGAGGGCCCCTACCTAGTGGTACTGTGGTAGTATATACGCTTATTGTTGGACCTTTGGAGTAGTAGCCACATCGCTTGGCCAGAGTTTTCCCTCATCTGAAACCACCAGTTCATTTGGGCCTGGAGCCGCTGCACTGCGCGCCAAGCTATTTGGAACCGCCAGCGGCGCGAAAAGACTCAAAATTTAATTCGACACAATTGGGTGCATGTCAATTCTAGCGACTTGTCAAAAGTTGATACGGAGTTGGTGACCGGTTTCAATTGGGAAAAAGAAAAAAAAGACAATGAACCTTATAAACTTGAATAAAGTGGAATTGTGGCAAGATAACTTGATAAGTCAGCAATACACATTGTGGACCTTGTGATTGATTTCAGTTTCAATTAAGGAAAAAAAAAAAAAAAAGACAATGAACATGATAAACATGAATAAAGTGGAATTGTGGCAAGATAACTGCAGTGGTGGGGGTCGATGAAAATCATTCGATAAATTAATGCCAATGGATGTCAGCGGTACGTCTGTTTCGTTCCAGCTGGCAACAAATCATTCAGTCAATGCATGTGATAATTGTGATTGAATTACGTCGACTGCTGCAGGTTGCTGATTAAGCACAAAAAAACTTGGAAAAAAAAAAAAAAAAGCAGGCGATTGTGGGTCGCGAAAAATAAAACAGTAAAATAAAAAATATGTTTGAAACTTTGAAACTTTTGAGTCATTGGGATCTGCAGATCTTGAGTCTGGGCAAGCATCACTCAAGTTTTTTGCTCTAGTGTTTGACTTCCATTGTGATGTGATTTCCATCTCACATCACATATGAATCATCGGGAGCCTTCGCGGCCAAAAAAAAAAAAAAAAAAAAAAAAAAAAAGTGTACTGCTTCAGGTCGATAAGTATGCGAAAAAGTCAATCGTCGATGGATGGATGTGGATTGTTTGTTTTTGAGCCGCTGGTCTCGGGAAAAAGCTGTTGCCATGGAACAACCAGCTGCGGGCTGGCTTAGATCAGTTGGTACAAGCACGAACTGGTACACGCACGAACTGTTGCAATACAGACGAGGTCCAGAGTTCAAACTCCACTGGAATCAGACTAGTACACTAGAATTCTGATGTACCTAGGGCCGGTCAGCTCGATGATGGTATCTCAAGGCCGTCACCCTTAAAAAAAAAACAAAAAACAAAAATTATCAATGCATTTGTGTATAAAGTATACACCGGTCGGCCATAGTGATTCAGAGGACCGGTGTGGAAGGGTCGAAGGGCTCTTGCTCAACAGACGAGGGGTAGGCTGGGGATGACACGCTGATGACTCCAAAGCGCTCAGATCGACGGGGAGGGGTTAGGCAGCTCATCCATCTCGGGGTACTGAACTCGGTGTGTTTTGTGTGCGAGTCAGCATGACGCTTCATGCCGCGTTCTGGCGTTCTTGCACATTTTTCCTCCTGTGTTGGCGACTATTTCTGTCTTCGACTCATTTCATGAGATTAACATGTTGGAAATGATTTTCTTGTTGTTGTTGTGATGGAACAGAATCTCTCGCAGCTGGCGCTAATGAACTTCGATCTACTCAAAAGATTGCGAGGAGCTTCGTCATCAACTTAACGTGCATTTCGATGTGAACAAATACAGCGGTCACACAGTTATGATTCAAGAAGAGCGTATGCAGCATTAAGATACACATGGTGTCTCCGTACTGCAGTTTTGGCAGGAAGGGGATCATATGGTTACCTCTTCGCCTTTGTACCCTGAGAAAAAATGAGGGTGGTCTGATCTGGAGGAGGCACGTTGATGTGGTCGTGGTGGCCCTTCAAGACAAAGGTTGATGGCGTTAAGATGGATTTTTTACCTCCTCAGCAGTCTGCCGCTGCGGAGAGCTATTCTGTCGATGGGTATGGGGGGAATACCCGTTTGCGTTCGGGTGACCGTGCGCCGCTTCGAAAGAGGAAGTGGGAGAGACCAATTGTGTATGAGTGTTGCTGCAGAGCTCGTTCAAGTAACTGAAGTCGATCTCAGGTCGTCAAGGTCGGCTTCAGCGGACGATTGGGAACAGAACCCGATCAGGTAACTGATACTTGGTGCGTCTGCAGATGGTAGGTTCTACTGTAGCAGCGGAATAAATTTTTTCTTCGTCTTTGTTTAATCCCGATTCTTTTTGGACATGTTGCTAGCACTGAGAATGTAACAGCCTTGCTGAGCTCTGTTGTATCATCATGGTGACCAGAGGAGATCAGTGGCAGGTAGAAATTGAAGTAAAACAACACGAGTGTAATCTGTTCATTGAATCGTGTAGTCTGCGGATGAGAGTGAAATCACATCAACACAGAGAGACAGACAGGGAGAGAGAGAGAGACAGAGACACGCAGATAGATGGATAGATTGAGAGAGAGAGAGAGAGAGAGATGCAGATGAGCAGAGAGAGAGAGAGAGAGAGAGAAGGTGGGTATGCGGAAGGCTAAACACCTTTTGTGTGTTTGAGTGGGGGACGGTAGGTGGAACGACGAAAGCGCTCGGCATAGACACACACACACACACACACACACACACACACACACACACACACACAGAGAGAGAGAGAGAGAGAGAGAGAGGGAGAGAGAAGCTTGAGACATGCAGATGAGCAGAGAGTGAGACGGAGGGAGAGAGAGAGAGAGAGAGAGAGAGAGAGAGAGAGAGAGAGAGAGAGAGAGAGAGAGAGCTGTGTTGTATCATCACGGTGACCAGAGGAGATCAGTGGCAGGTAGAAATTGAAGTAAAACAACACGAGTGTAATCTGTTCATTGAATCGTGTAGTCTGCGGATGAGAGTGA